CATACAATAGGCTTGAGGCCCAATGTAAAAGATGGCTTTTAAGCCTGACAAAGGCACTGTCCAGTTGCCTGGTGACTTCACTCCTCCTTCCTCTGGGCAGGTGTGGGAATGTCTTTGGTTCCCAAGAGAAAATATTTTATTTTGGCTACAAAGTCCCAGCTATCTCTAATCCCCACTCCTGATCCCTCAGCTGGAGTGTGGCAGCACTGAAGCTCCAAGATGGCTTTGGTCAGGTCACCTTCAGGGTTGACATATATATATAGCACCGCAGAGCAAACAAAGAGCACAGTCACCATGTGTTTTACTGAACAACTATTTTAACTGTAACAGGAAACTCTACTTAGAACAAAAGAGTATAGAGTATATACTGTAGATCCAAACTTGTAAACACTGCCATCTACTGGTTGAATACCTCTGTAGTTGGTGCATATATATCTTATGTATCCACTTGTGTTTTATTTAACCCCAAGGAGATACACAATGTCATAATGCTGAAATGCGATACAAGCAATCTCTTCATAATAGATTATTCATGAAAGCGTAGCCATCCTCCAAGGCAGTTTACTGTCTGTATCAGGTTGGTGGTTTCTTCCCTTCTCTTCTGCCCTGTCACAACCAGGCAAAATATGTAACTGATGGTTCTTCCCAAGAAGGGAGGAAGCTAAGCTTGCCACTCAAACTGAGTCAGCCTGACTGGTGGGGCAATGAACCACTAAACAGTGATCCTTAAAGTCACCATAAAAGTTTATTTCATCTTTGACACAAGAATCTCACTTTCTCCAGCTTGGTGTTGGCTTTCAATTCTCTAGAGGAGACAGAAAAGTTTATCCTTCCTTCTTTCGGATTAATCCCAAAGAATTTCCTCAATATGTGGGTTTGGTCCAACTACTCCTGCATTTCCAGTGGAACTGGGTTGGGCTGATTGCCTCTAAAGATGACAGTGGAGAACGTTCCATCTCATCTCTGATGCCAATGCTGAAGGAGAAGGAGATCTGCGTGGTCTTCACAGCAATGGTGACAACTGATAATATTAAGAAACAATTACTGTCAAAATTACATCTTATTTTAAAAACTTGGTTTAAAGCTGAAGTTATTATTTTGTTTGGTGACACCAGTGGTGTTTCCACAATACTTCTGGCTGTATATCTTTACGTAAAAAGGGCAAAGACAGCATTTCAAAGAGTTTGGATTTTAACTTCCCGTTGGAATCTTAGCGTGGTGGGAACTAAGTCAACATTGCAGCTTATAAAGCCCTTCCATGGGGCTTTGCATTTCAGGGACCATACTAGGAATGTCCCAGAATTCAGCCATTTCCTTTGGTCTTTAGACCCTTTGAATCCACAGGGGGACCTTTTCCTCCCTCTATGGTGGGAGAGGGTCTTTGACTGCAAGATCCACAAACTAAATGAGATCCCCTCAAAGGGGAATAAATCATGTACAGGAAAGGAGAATATACAGAATCTTCCAACTTACATATTTGAAACAAGCATGTCTGGTGAGAGTTACAATATCTACAATGCCATTTATGCTGTGGTGCACGCATTACATGCCATGCACGGATCTGCAATGAGACCAACCATGAAGAGGTTTGGAAAGAAGATTTCAAATATTCAATCATGGAAGGTAATCCTGGTCACCTTTTATCCAATGCATGGATCTTTAGAGAGGAATCTTCCCATTCGTATTTCCTCAATTACTGATTAAATGTCTTTATGCTACTGTGTCAAAACATTTCAGAACAAGGAAAGGAAAGGAAAGGAAGATCTGAGATCCTGACTAGCCTAAATACAATATCTAAAAAGACATTGAATTATTTTAACCATAGTTTATGTTTCTACAACTTACACTCATGTGGAACCCAACATTTTTTTCTTCAGTTTGCCATTTATTATACTGCTCAGCGTGCTGTGTGCAAACAGCCTCTGGAGACCTCAACACACATAATACTCATGGTGTTCCTCCTGGCTTCCTGGTCTGAAATACATGTGCCTTTCTTTCCACTTTTTATACTTATCCCTTTTATCTTTCAATTTATCAGAGAGTTCTTTATGCTGCCATGCTGGTTTCTTTTGGGAGCTGTTTTTTTTTTTTTGTTGATATTGTGCTAGACTGGGCTTTTATAATCACACTTTTCAAAATTTTACAAAATTTTACAAGCCCTCAGGCCAAAGAAAACATTTAAAAATGCTTGTAGCCATGTATCACAAGAGCAAGACATACAAAGAATTTTTGGAATGTGGAAGCTGGAACAGACAATTTGGAATGCCCAATGGTAAACAGAAACTTTGTGGCGTTGTGGAAGGAGTCAAATATTGTTAGTTCTGATTGCTAACAACAGCACCAAAAAAGTCATCTACCATTCCAGACATATACCCATCTCCTAGGACGATGGCCATCACAGAATGATAGAAGCCATGATAACTCTGTTGTGGCTTTCAGTCAATTTCAAAAGGTCTCTTTTCTTTCAGATTCTTCCCTATTTGAGGAACATCCAGTTCAACAACAATGTTGGAGAGGAAGTCTCCTTCTCAGAAGATGGACTGGAGTCTTCTCATTATGATCTTCTCAACTGGGTTTTCTTCCCCAATCTTTCTTTGGTCCCCAGGAAAGTTGGTGGAATCGATCCCAGGGTTTCCTCAGGCCAGGATTTCACCATTAACTCCAATTCAATCATCTGGGACACAAGGGTGAGCTGGAAGGAAAAGTTATAAATTCAGGAAATGACTTTGTTTCTCTCCTGGAGATGCAAAAGATCCTTCTCACTGTAAAACATGTATATTGAATTAGACAACATGACAGCCCTTTTGTGAAACATCTAGCTTTTGTGCAAGAGATTTGAGGTTTGATTGACATCAGTCTGCATGTTTTAGGACTGGGAAGAATCTGTGCTTTAAATACAGGAGGCAATAAAAGCAGACAACTGTGATTTCTGGGAAATATTCCCATTTGGATGCATATGAGTCTTTATTTTTGATAAATATAGCTCAATATCACAAACCTTTTTTTCCATGCTGAGGTTAAAATTCCAATTTTTGACCTCCCTTGGTGGGTTGTGAGTGCCACTGGCCTGAATCAGCCAGGAGCTGTTCCAACTATTAGGTAGTCCATTTTTTTTGAAGACATGAATAAATGAGGCATGTTGATTGCTTAACCCCTCTTACACTTTTCCTTTTCCTGTTTTAGAAGGTGCCCTTTGCCAGGTGTGGCAAGAAGAGGTGCCAGGCAGGAGAGAGGAGAAGAGTTCCGGAGGGCCAGCAGGTCTGCTGCTACCTGTGTGATGCTTGTCCAGAAGGGACCATTTCTAATGAGACAGGTAGGGCACTCCTCAAATGTAGATCTTCCAGGATGATGGACTTCAGTAGATCAAAATATTACTATTTTGTCATTTTTGATAGGATTGACATGCTTCAAATTTTCACAGTTCTCAGCAGAATTTTTCACTTTTATGGGTCTAAACTGTCCTCCCCTGATCTTCTGAAGAAAGAGAATATCCTGCTAGCTATGTCCACTTACTCTTTCATGCAAAATAATTCTGAATGATTTGAATTACAAAGCAGAGAAATCAAGCCAGACAGGTAGCAATAGCACATAGACTTACATACCACTTCAAAATGCTTTACAGCCATCTCTAAGTGGCTTACAAAGTCAGCATCTTGCCCCCAACAATCTGGGTCCTTATTTTGCCCACCTCAGAAGGATGGAAGGCTGAGTCATCCTTGAGCCTGGTGAGATTCGATCTGCCAAACTGCTGGCAGCCAGTGATCAGCAGAAGTAGTCTGCAGTACTGAACTCTAACCACTGCACCACTGCAGCTCTTAATAATGGATCTACAAACATAATAACAGGATTCTGGGCTGGGAGAACAATCAGTTTTTGGGGAGGTCCCAGTATAAATTGAGAAAAAAGAAACAATTGGCAATCTGTCAGTAAAAGCCATAGCCTAAGGCTGGAGATGACCTTTTTTATCATCCAGCCAACTGACCATTTTGATTGTCTTTTTATCTCTGCCTAATGTATCCCCAGCATTGACCTGAATGAAGCATTATTTTCCATTTTTGATGCACTATAAAGTACACAGTGTGTCAGTCCATCTGCTGTGTTGACCACCGAAGAAACGATACAATTATGTCTCTTCTAAGTGAGGAATTATGGTCTTGATAAACCCCTCTGAATTAATTAAACAATTACTTTTGATTTCAGATGCAGCCCAGTGTGATCCTTGCCCAGAAGACCAATATCCAAACCAGGAGAAGAATCACTGCATTGTGAAGAAGGTCCACTTTCTTGCTTATCAAGATAACATGGGATACGCTTTAGTTTCTCTCACTCTTTTAATCTCTGTGATCACTTCTGCAGTCCTGGTGATTTTCCATAAATATCGTGACACCCCAATTGTCAAGGCCAACAACCGAGATCTCACTTACATCCTCCTGGTCTCCCTCCTTCTCTGTTTCCTCTGCTCCTTCCTCTTCATTGGTCAACCAGGAACCATCACCTGTCTCTTCCGACAAACTTCCTTTGCCATTTTCTTTGCCCTTGCAGTTTCCTCTGTCTTGGCAAAAACTGTCATGGTGGTTCTGGCCTTCATGGCCACTAAGCCAGGGAACAAGACAACAAAATTCTTAGGTAAACCACTGACCAACTCCATTGTCTTAGCATGTCCCCTGATCCAGGCAGTTATTTGTGTCACCTGGCTGGCAATTTCTCCCCCATTTCCCAACATGGACTTCCACTCCTTGGTGGGAGAGATTATCTTGGAATGTAATGAAGGCTCAGCTTTTATGTTTTATGCTATCCTTGCGTACCTGGGTTTCTTGGCCCTTGTCAGTTTCACCATGGCATTTCTAGCTAGGAAATTGCCTGACAGCTTTAATGAAGCCAAGTTCATTACTTTTAGCATGCTGGTCTTTTGCAGTGTTTGGATCACTTTCATCCCAACCTATTTGAGCACTAAAGGGAAATCCATGGTGGCCGTGGAGATCTTCTCCATCTTGGCTTCTGGAGCTGGTCTTTTGGCATGTATCTTTTTTCCCAAATGCTTCATTATCCTACTAAGGCCCCATCTCAATTGTAGAGAAAATATAATGAAGCACAAGAATTTCTGATTTGCAATTTTAAGACTTTGCCCTAAAAAAGAAAAAAAAATTCACCAGAAGCCAGAAGGAGATCATGAAGGTCCAAGAATTCCTCTCCACTGTTTACATTCTGCTGTGGTTGGCAGAACTCTAGTTCTGACTTTCATATGAAATAAAATAAAAAACAGCCATGGATTTCTCAATGGTTGGTCTCTGGGTTTGGCTTTCCTGCCCAAACACTCTCACTTTCTGCTAAGGCCCATCCTCCACTGCAGAGGAAAGGTTCACCTGAATGCAGCACCCCTTGGCAACCTTCTGGGGGAATTGAGCACAACTGGAATTCTGGGGACACAGGGCAGTAATGCTTGCAAAGTCACAACACAGTCACAAAATATGCACTGATCCAATTGTCCAGTCTAAATTTTGTCCAGTCTCTTTTCAAAAGCCTCCAGTGATGGAGCACCCACAACTTCTGAAGGCAAGCTATTCCATTGGTTGAGTCCTCTAACTTTTAAGAATTTTCTCCTTAATTCTAGATTGCTTCTCTCCTTAGTTAGCTTCCAACTGTTCTTTCTTGTCTAGCATTTATATAATGGACTGGAGACTAAAACACATGAAGAAAGGTTGCAGGAACTGGGCATGGCTAGTCTAGTGAAGAGAAGGACCAGGGGAGACATGATAGCAGTCTTCCAATACTTGGGGGGCTGCCAAAGAGAGGTGGGGGGTCAAGCTATTTTCCAAGGCACCTGAAGGCCAGACAAGGAATAATGGAGGGAAACCTTTCAAGGAGAAATTCAACCTGGAAATAAGGAGGAATTTTCTGACTGTGAGAACAATCAACCTATGGAACAGAAGTTGCCTTCAGAAGTTGCGGGAGCTTCATTACTGGAGGCTTTCAAGAAGAGATTGGATTGGATTGCCATCTGTCTGCTTGGGTGGTTGGACTAGATGACCTACAAGGTTCCTTCCAACTCTATTATTCTATTCTATTCTTGGACTTGCAAGGCACTGGGATGCTCATGTGTGAAGAAGATGGCGGTGACGGAAACCGCTTTTTCACTGACCAGAGGACTTTTCCTGTGGGTGTGGCTAGGTGGGGAGGCATGTGACTGAGTGGGTGTGGCTGTGAGTGATGTCACATTGGCCATATCCACTCAGTCACATGCCCCCTCACCTATCCACACCCACCGAACAGGTAGTGATTTTTTTGAATTGCACCACTGATCTATTGACATGGCTGGCCTAGTAAAGAGAGCTATGAGCCAGTGGCCCCTAACTCATCCCAACACTACCTTTTTATATTTCTCTGCACACATTTCACAACTTGCTTCCTTGTTCTTCCTTGTTCCTTGCCCCAAGTCCATCAGGTGCTTCACCATTGCTCCACTGGAGGGCGGACATCACAGCTTGCTTTCCAGAGGGAACTGTGATGAAACTGACATCACAAATAATTGCCGCTCTAGGATGCTGCACTCATTAATGGCCCAGGCCCTCCCTTGTCTCTCCCATGATATCACAAACAATAGCCACTCTAGGATGCAGTGCTCGCTCTTTTTAATGGTCCAAGCACACACACACACACACACACACACACACACACACACACACACACACACACACACACCAGGGGTGTCTTACACCCCTAGTATTTGTTTCC